AGCGGTGGTCGAAACGCTTGTCCCCGATTGAAATGCAGAACACGGTGTCCTCTTTTTCGTCGTGTGTCTGAATCCACATCATCTCATAAAGTGGATGGGCAGATGCGGGACACTTGTTGGCGAAAATCGCCTCGCAGTCAAGCAACTCGGGCTTGGTGATACGGCTAAGGATTTTAGCCATTGCCTCGGTCTTTCGGGCAAGTGATGCGGTTTTGCAAAACCAATCATACCACCCAGCCTTGACTTGGGTTTCGTAGTCACGGCTGACGAAATCGCCGTTTTTGTATGCCTTGACCCAATCCTTGATAGTCATTTTTGCCATAACTTTAATATTATTTGGGTTAAACTTCAAAAAAACGGGAGCGCTTTCAGTCGTTGTTTGTCCACTTGCCGACGCTCTAACGCCGACCGAAGGTAGGGGTCGAACCTACTCCGCAGACCGCCGTCCGCTCCCTTAACGTGTTACAAAGATAACACAAATAATTTGAATATGCAAATATTATTCAAATTATTTGTGTTAAAAAATGTTAATGTCAATGTCTGAAAGAATATGCAAGGGGATTATCAGGGTCTATCCTTATGGTGGTAGCCGACAACGCCTCCGCCCTTGATACTCTTGCCAATCCGCTCATTGCCAAGCGGAACTTGCCGACCTCGCTGTTAATCCACAACGAAACAGCGTCCACAACGTCACGGGGCAAGACAAAACCCGTTACCTCCTTGATTTTTGTGTTTCCGATGTAGATTTTACAAGCCTCAACCTTGACCTTGTATGACCTTTCGGGGAATACGGCGTTCAAAATGCCGTTAATATTAATCAAAGTCGCCTCTAATGTCATAATCTGATTTATTTATTTATTTGAAAATGTTTGTTATTTCGTTTATGTATTGTTCCGCCTTAACCAACAACAAGGCGGGTATGAAACTGATTAACAGAAAGGCTGTCAATGACAGAAACATTACCCACAAAGCCAATAGGAAAGGATACAAGACGTGACCGCATCTCTCTCAAAGCGGTTTCCAATTCTGAAAGTGAAAGTGTTTTCATTTTCGCTTGTGTTTTTTAATTTAATACCAATATCTGAGCAGTGCCTTGCGCAACCGCCCGTGACCGATGTGTCCGCCTTGGTATTTCCGCAGAAACGCACGGAGCGCCCATCTTTGTTTCGGGTGCTTTTTGTTTTTCGTGTTGCAAACCCTTCTATGCATTGCCGTCGGTGTTTTCGGGTTTGTTCTGACAGAATACGGGGTGCATCCTCACCTCATCCATAAACTCACAAACGGAATTAGGGTAGAGGAGGTGCTGGTCGCACTTCAGGCAGATGTCGGGGACTGAATACCTTTTTTTAAGTTTCTCAAAGGCATAGGGCAAGTCTGAGAAGTCGAACATACCCGATGTGTCCGTTTTCTTTAATTCCTCGGCGAGGATGCTTATCGTCGCCCCGTCTATGTGGGGGCGGTACTTGAAACACACGCCCCGAGCGTCGGGTTTCGCCGATTTACGGCACTCGCCGAGGTGCGGGTCGTGATATATGCAGTATGTGCAGACGTTTGCCATTTTTTTATTCCGTTTTAAATGTTGATAAAAAAACCAAGGGCGACGCATTATTCAGACCTTAGCCGTTATCCTCGCAGTGAGGTATAAATTAGGGGTTTCTTTCAGTCTGTTTTGTCGGGTTAGGCGGTTCGGTGTACTTCCACGGCTTCTTTGTGTCCGCCCTATTTCAATTCCCCCGTGCGCTACCCAATTTATCTTCTGCGCCCTTGGTGGTGTTGGTGGTTCGTTAAAACAAAATCGGGTTTATCGGCTCTTCCCGGACGTTTCGCTCGTATTGGCTGAACTCCAAGAAGTCCTCCGCCTCATCCAACGAGGCGAACCCCGAAAGCCAATCGTCGAACCTATCCTCGGCGGTGTGTCCGTATTGTTCGACGTAAAGGCTTTTTATGTATTCTTTCTGCTCGGTGGTGTTCATTTCTAAATCTTTTTAAAATCGGCGATTTTCAAGCCATAGGCTTTATTTACGCCGTGGATTATGTTGTTGATATATGCCTCAAGGTCGTCGCCCGCCATAGTGTGCGAAACCTTGATGTCTACGATGTCCCCGTCGTCGGTTTCAGCCGAGGGAGCGCTGATTGCTACCCTTATGGACTTTTTGAGCAAGTCCACACGGGCAAGATACTCGGCGGTTCTGTTGCAGTATGACTCAAAAAAGCCAACCGCCGAAGTCCTGCGCCATCCCTCTTGGCACTTTATTATGATATTCTCCATAATTAATCCGTTTTAACTTGATACTGCAAATATATTTCAAATTTTTGGTATTGCCAAATAAAAAGCGTTAAAAAATGTTAATAGAAAACATATATTTTTTTATCGTTTGGAGGGCTCGGGTCTTGAAAATTCCCGAGAAAACAAAAACGGCAATGATAGAAAATTATCACTGCCGTTGGTTGGGTTGTTTTTCGGGCGTTACTCTGAGATACAAGGCTCAAAGTTCGCCATAAAGTCGTCAAGTGTTCGGGTAAAGAAGGTAGGCTGTCCCGTGTTCCTATCGTTGCCGAGATAGGTTACGGATGTCTGCCACTCGCCGTTTATCTTTGTCTTGCCGATAAACTGAATGGTTTCGACGCATTCGGGTTTTGTCTTGTGGCGGACTACCACGCCCGCCTTGATTTGGCTCTCTGTCATTTTTTCGTGTCGGTTTTTAATTGTGGAATGTTTGTAAAATAGTTGCTGTTCGTCCCCTTGATGATTTGGGGCAGAAGTTGGTGCATCGTGTCTTTGGGAAGCATAACGTCAACGGGTCGCTCGCTGTTGAGCAATACCCGGAAACACGCCGAGTTGGCGAATACTCCCGTGCGGTATTCCGAGTAGGTGACAAGAAGGCGCTCGCTTGGATAGAACTGCCAAATGTCGCAATGTTGGCGCTTTTGGTAAGTCCATCCGCCCCGATTGTGCCTCTGCATCGTGCGGTAGCCGAGCCACTCAACCAACTCGGGCTCGTCGAAACCCTCATAGGGGACGTGGTGAAGGCTGTCGTCCACGTCAACCAACGCCTCGCCGTCGTAGAAGGCAACCCGTGCGTGGCGGAACTGAGATACCACCGCCTTAATCCTTGCTTGTGTCGTTGTCAGTTTCTTTGGCATAGTAGTCGTTAAATTTTTATGTTTCTTTTCAGTTTGTTGATTTTGTCCGCCCCGTACCTTGACCTCAGTTCGGCAAGCAGAGAGAACGGCTCGGAATGTCTATCCTTGCCCGTCATTGTCGCAATCGTCCCCGCCGTGTCGGCTTGCACGAAGTCCGAAAGGCTGACAAGTGCGCCGAGTAGGTTCTCGCCCGTCAGTGCGCCGAAAAACCCGTACTGCCAAAGGATATGGCTGTTGTCGTCGGTGTATTGCAGTGTCCATCCCTTTCGGTCAAGCCACGGAAACAACGCAAGGCGGTGTCCTCTCAATTCCGAGGGGAAGTCGTTCAGAATATCCTGCCCCGTCATTTCGTGCGACTGAGTTTAGGGTTCGTCAATGATGCGCTCGGCTTGCCCATAAGGTCTTGCAGACGTGCGTACGCCTTGCAAATATCATCCTTGGAGAAATGTTCCAATATGTACGCAACCTTGTCCGAAATCGGCTTTTCGGTTGCATAAAGGAACTTCTCGGGGGCGGTGTCGTTGCAGAATATGACCATCGCCGATAGCAGGTGGCTTGCCCCCTTGCCCGTGCGAGCCATCAAGGCTTTTAGTTTCGCATCATCCTCGGCGGATATGCAGAGGGTGCGCTTGGTCTTGGGCGGTTTCCTGCCTTTGCCACGACCGCCGACCTTGGTCTTGTGCGCCCCGTATGTGTTGAGCCACGACTTCAAGGCGGCAAGGTTCTCCTCTAAGGTGCGCCCGGGGTTCGATAGGAACGGACTCACCGCCGAAGTGCCGTCCGCATCCTCGTTGATTGTCACACCCCAAAAGTTCTCAAACTTTCGGAGTCTTGTTTTGCGGTAACGTCTGATAATCTCAGACACCGCCCTCTCCTCGTCTGTCAGTCTTCTTGCCATTTTATGCGGTTTTTATTGTTTTTAAGGCGGATGCGCCCGTCGTATTCAAGTTCCGCCATATACTCCCTCAGTCCCTCCAACTCGTCCTCAAAGAACAAGCCGACGGCGTTCGGTGTCGGTCGTGGGCGGTACATTTCAAAATGAAACGGCTCGGGATTACGGGCCGGGAAGTCGTGGGTAAAATAAATATAACAACACATATTTTTGTGCCACTCAACCTTGCCCACACCCTCATAACACCGCAACAGACGGCGCACCGTGGTCTTGATTTTGTCGGTAAATCGCCGACAACGGGCAAAGTACACAAGCACCACGTCGCCCTTGCGGAACGCCCTATACTTTCGGCGCTCCTTGGGGTTCGTGAATATCTCACGCACCCCCTCGGGGTCTATCTGCTCGCCTCTGTCGGCAAAACCCCAGTAATATTTGGTGTTTTCGTTCGTTCTCATAATGATACAAAATTAACTTTATTTATCTGTATTGTCAAATAAATAAAGTTAATAATTGTTAATGGGTTAGTTTTTTTTCAGAACGGGAGGTTGTTGTCAAGCACTCCGAAATGCCGTGAGTTCCGCTCAATCCACGCCCTTGTGCCGTGTCGGACGATGATGCTCGGGGTGTTTGTGAAAGGCTTTCGGCAACGTCTGAACATAAACCAGCGTCCCCGTGTGCTTTTTCGGGTCAGACCCTCGGGATGCCGTCCCCACGCACTGAGGAAATAGCGGACAAAGGCGGCGAGCCACAACTTGCCGAGCCGTGCTTGGGTCAGCAAACGCCGTCCGCTACGGCGGTTTCTCTTGTTTCTCTGCATTTTTTAGTCTTTAAAGAACATCGTCCATATTCCAATGCCCCAACAGAGCAGAAGGATGATGCCCCAAATGATAAATAAAATTATTGCGTCTTTTTTGTTCATTGCGTGTGTTTTTTTTATTAATTTCCCAATTTAGGCTCAGCCATAAAACACGCCCTCTGCCTTACGTCAACGAGTTTCTCGGTCTTTGCGCACGGATGCACTCCTTTCAAGTGTACGCCCTTGTCTATCACGGGAACGGGTAACATATAACGGCAGTCGGCACAAATCTCGCAGGACGGATTCAGAGGGTCGTTCGTGGTGAGCCTATCCATTTCCTCGTTGCTCATTCCTTTACGAGTTTGAGTTTCATTCATCTTATTCATTGCTTTAATTATTTAAACCGCCCGTTGTGCCTTATCCTTGGTCGTCTCGGGCGGTGTTCGGTTAGTTACTCAAAGTAAAGTACCTCCGCCTCTAT